AGGGCAGAATTGGGGACCCAATCCCTCCGGTCGGGAAGAGGCGCGAGGAAGCTGACATGGCAGTATCGCATGTGCGGGATGGGAGAGAGAGTTTGCCGAGAATTTTATGGGACGCGAAGTGGGCAAACAAAAAGAGGGGTAGACAACCCACGGAATGGGTCAAGGTTGTAGAGGACGTATGGAAGGGCTGGACATCGACGAAGATGAAACGCTGGAAACGGAGGGTCTACAGGGGCTGAAGGAGAAGATATCTGTTGCTTGTGCCGAGAGAGAAGAACAGAACCTGAGGAAAGAATCCAAGGATAAGGAGGGTCTAGAAGTGTACGGAATGTTGAAGGAAGGAATAGGGTTCAAGGACTACCTACATGGACCAATGGATGCAGGAACAAAGCTTAAGGTCAAATTCAGGACCGGGGACATAGGCCTTCGAGAACGTCGACGAAGACATAGGACGGTAGACGAGGAAGACGACGAGTTCAAATGTGATTGCGGCTTCGAATGCGAAGACCGTGTTCATGTAGTCGCGGAATGTCCGTTGTACAAGAAGGAGAGGGAAGTGTACGTGACTGAGCTGGGAAAAATAGATGGAACGTACAGGGAGATGTTTGAGGCATGGAATAGAGAGGAAAGGACGGTAGCTGTACTGGGGCATAGGAGGTGGGTTGAAAAGGCGGGAAGGGATATCGTTAGGATAGACAGACTAGAGAAGACATTNATGAATGAGCTGGTAAACAAAGATGGGACGTACAGGGAGATGTTTGAGGCATGGAATAGAGAGGAAAGGACGGTAGCTGTAGTGGGGCATAAAAGGTGGGTCGAAAAGGCGGGAAGGGATATCGTTAGGATAGACAGACTAGAGAAGACATTCGTGAGCCACCTTTGGCAAAGTAGGAAGGAACGATTGACCATCGGTGATCGGTCCTGTTGGAACAATGCTCCGTCCTCTCGAGGACGCGTGGCCAAAGGTCTAACCGCTAAGGCATGCAAAACATAAGAGTACGTCCCCCCCTCCCTCCCCACTGCCCCATTCACCTACCAAAACACTACGTAGGATAACGATGAGGCTTACGTATCGGGCTGGGACAAACACCTGGAAGCACAACGGAAAGTAGAGGGATGCTTTGCCAAAACTTTACGAGCTCTGGAAAAACGTAACGAGACTGCCGCACCCCTTGGTATCCTTCGTCGAAGCTCTTTTTTTTTTCCCTCGCGCATCTTTCGGAATAAAAAGGCACCTAGAGAAACCATACCCGGCGAACGGACACATAGCAGCACAACGCAGTCAGTGACACTTCTCTCCGGCGCTCTAGCAGAATACTCTGTGCTCCATCCTTGAGTACTAGCAACCCTGTGCTTGGTTCGAAGGGACTCGTAGTCCCCTACGGAGAGGCGCATGTTGAGTTTAGGGAAGGGGAGAAGAGTAGGTTACTGCTGTACTGCGAGATGCTCTGGAACGCTCGATCCTTTCGCACGCAAACCACGAGCAGTCTGTGCAGTAGAGCGTGGATACACATATCAACGTACACAGAGGGTGTCGGGTGTGTTTTTTGGACGTTGTGGCCTACGACGAGCGGCGTCAACCGCTATGAACGGCAAACGAAGAGTCATGTGCGTTTGTAACCTGTAGTCTAGGGGTAACAAAGTCGATCGAATAGTCCCTGTTCTCCCCACCCAGTCCGCCTTCAAGGCCGACCACACCACCACACGGTAAATTCATACAGTACATCCGCAGAGCTAAGGGGGTGGTTTGTGGCGCTCTATCTTGTCCCTCTGCAGCGCATCCGCCTACTGCACCCTTTCTCTGTGTCGCTCTCTTCTGCTCCAGTTGTTTTCGGGGATGGGCGCTTGCAAACAAGCCAAAAATACAGGGTGGGTGCGGGGGTTGAACCGGTATATGTCGTGTACCACCAGCCAGACCGTACACAACCGCCAGGGCCAGACCTCTCGTTGCATATTCTCGATACCAGTTTATTTTTCTTGTTGATTTCATTGAACAACGAATCCTTCTCTATACGCATGTGAGAGTCCAGGATAGAATGGATCCACAGCGCCAGCGGCAGCACAAGTGTTTTCGCCGGCTCCCCGAGGAACACCCACCGAACTCTCCCGCTGTAGGTAGAAGGCTCTACAAGACAGTTTGGCATCATATGCATCTCTCTGTATGTTACGCCCGAAGGGCTTATACATGGAAGCAAGACGTTAGGAAGTTCTGGATGTTGCACCCTTGGACGAACAGATCACATACAAAAGAGTACGGACGTAACAACATCATAGGCCGTGCTTCCACGTGGATCCTTGGTTGGCGTGGCGTGGTTGTGACGTCCCGGTTGCTGAATTGTTGAAAATGTGTACGACGATGAGCTTCAGCAAGCAAAAAAATGTGACAGCCTATCAGAACTGCGGTGTCGTGTGCGGTGCCGTGCTGGGGGTACGAGGTATGCAGCCAGATCATAAAGCTGGTTACATCCGATGCGCTTGAAGAAATCAGTCAACTGCTGCAGCTCCTGCAGGGCCCCGAAAGCAATGAAAGGAACCGTGAAATGAATAAACCACGCGCAGCACACACCAGTACCCAGTGCTCACTGGATAACAACTCAGCATGTGTGTACCTGCTCGACAATAGCATCGGCAGCCTCCTTGTGATCAACGTCGAACCCCGGCAACAGCGTGTCTGCCCAAGCTTCCAGCACCCGGAGTTCGCGCGAGCCCAACCACGTGACCTGTACCCCTCCCTCATCCTTGCCTCCTCCCGTGACCACGTTTTCCCAATTCTTGCCCTCCTTGCCGACCCCAGCCGGTTTGGAACGCAGCCGACGGAATCCTGGAGTTGACCCCTGCGAAGACCGCCTCAGGAAAGAAAGGTATGCATACAGCACGAAGGTGGCGGCGAGAAGCAAAACGGTTGAAGTAGCCCCACCACTACTGCAGTTATCCAGCAGCCGCCTGATGCAGCTCGGCACAACATTGGCCAGATCAAGACAAACGGCAACAATACATGGGGAGCCTTCCTTGGATCCCCGGCCTGGTATCATGCTTTCCCACGCAGGAGAAAGGGAGAGGGAGAGAGAGGGAGAGAGAGAGAGGTGAACATCATCACCTATTGTTGCATCCGTCGCATTGAGCTCGAGCGAGTAGGTAACACCGCATTTTCGTACATCTCACCAATCATCAACTTGCTGGGAGACCCTATTTGCAGGATGGTCCTGCAACGAAATGCTGCAGGATGGAAAACGCCTCCAGAACCAACCCAC